AATTCACCTGGAGGTAACTTACCAGCAATCTAAGGCCTGGTCTACTCGTGCAGCAGAAGCAGAGGGCACTGGAAAGAATTTTACTATATTGGTCTGCAATAAGTAAAATAAAATTACCCTTGAATGACTTCTATATAAACGGAACATTCTGTAAATGTTTATGAGTAAAGATTGGAGTTTACTGAATAATATTTCTCTCACACAGTTCATCTTGATATATTGCTTGGCATGAACTCTTCATGCTAACATTTTCTAATATATTTTCCAATTGATGAAATTTTAAGCACTAACAAGGCTCATCCCTCATGCCTTGTCTAATAGCTTTCCCAAACCTATTATACATCAAGAGACTAAGCTTCTGAAAAAGCCATAAATTGATGCAGATGCATGGGAATTAACTCAGGAGTTGGGTGCAGAATTTAAATTTGAAAACAACAGTCGTTGCTCCATGTGACTGGGAGTGGAGATATGCAGATGCTGTGCAGGAAATGTTATATTATGGGATACCTAATAAGATTAGGTATTGCAGATGCTTACAGTGTCTGTACAATCATTGAATGTTAAAGCTGGAAGGGACAGAAAAGGTTATCACACTGGAATAATACATCAGCCTCCAACCAAGGAAACTGGAATCCAAAGTATTCTGCCATCACTATAAGCAGAGGTTATATCTTCCTAACCATCATGCTGGACAGCTCCCCAGATGACCAGATGCAAGTGAGGAAATGGTCACAAAGAGAGAATCCAAGAATACATGCATTCAGACTTAAGGCAAATGTTCTTACCCCCATCTTCAAAAAGTCTGATTTGGTCATGATGTACTAGTCCTAAGCAGAACTCCTCCTGGACAGAGCCTGCTTTAGGAGATGCAGGGAGATGCATTAGCTCAGGTTAGCAAAGCCCAGGGTCCCCAACTCCACAGAGTTAGCCAGTGTGGTGTAGCAATTCAAGTGACTGACAGGGACTCCTGTTATCTGGCTCAAAATCCCCAGTCAACCGTGACACAGACTGGGTGGCTGGCTCAGTCATTGGGCCTCAACCCAACCTACCTCAAAGGAAGGTTGGGAGGACAAAGTGTGTATCCCTTGTGAGTTCAACAGCAGCAGGGCAACCCTGAATAATAGCAACTTTTTTTCTGTGTTTTCCGACATATTCACACACTACCACTTTCAAACAAGCTGTGCACACACCTACAGGTAACTCCTTTCCATGCTGCTTTTGCTGATCTCCCTGAAGGGTCCCCATTCCATGAAGTTTTAAGCCTGTTGCAACCAAGCCCACTGAAGTGCAATTTGCTAAAAGAGCTCCAAGTTCTACAAGTAGTGGATCTGAGCATACTCTTTCTTGTTCCTTATGGACAGCCTAACATATCCATCCAGTTCTCACCTCTTATGCTCCATGGTAGTGTTTTCAGGGACAGAAGGACAGAACAGCTGATATCAATGTGTCCTATTTCTTTACTCTGCAAGAGAAAAGACATCTATAGGGACTTAAATCATTTGGCAGAAACTCAGCCACATCCATGGTCCAAGGCACATAACATGCTGCTCACAGGTAATAAGACTGACTTCTTAAATCTGAATTCTTTCTTGCAATGCTATTTCTGGCACACTCTGCCGAGCATCCAATATAGGAAACATTGGTTTTCTACTGAAAAGCAGCACTGAGTTCACACAATCAGATTATTGGTGGTTTTTAAACACAGGCATGCTTGGTTAGGAATGTACAGAGCTCTGTGTGTCCGTTAGTCACTGCAACACTCAACAGACATAAGAATCAATCAGGACAGGAAGAAGTGCCTTGGACACCTTCTGAGAGCCTTGTTTGGCATACGAAGGACAAGGTATAGTGCACATTGATTCATGCTTTAGGAAATCCATCTGAGGAAGATGTAGATACCAGAACGTACATGTTTGCAAGTGCATAAGAACATACAGGCACTGATTTCCTCTGTCTTTTTGCTTTATTTCTCTATAGCTAATCTATATCTTTCTGCCTCTGTACAAAAAGAGCATCCCCCGAATTCAAAACTGCATGAAAGTTACAACTTCAGAGTTGCTACTCCATTGAGTCTCTTCCACCCTGCTGTCCATACAGCAGTGATTTAGTGCTCGCCAGAGGAAGCTCTGAATAGAGCAAAAACACTCTTTTTTGGATTGGGACAGGTGGCTGGCGTTCCTTTATGCCAGCTCCACCAAGCTGCTCCATTTCAGAGACAAGTGTTTTCGCTCCTTTCCAGCTGCCCCAGAAAGAAGCCTTTGCTTTTCTTCTGCAAGCTGTGGGTCCCAATTGTGGGTGGAAATTGGTGGAATTTAAGAGAATGACAGCAAGGTGTCAGTGCAGCATTGGATTCCGTCCCCCAGACTTGGAAGGTTTCAAAACGTATGAAAGCAGATGGTGGTTTCTCAGTGATGAAGACAAAACGCTTCTGTGCTCATGCTCAAAGGCCCCAGTTAGAGATGTGTACACACTGTTCAAATTTAGTTCAGGCCCTTAATTACAATCTTCACCTGGAAATAATTTTAAAGGATCACTTTTGTCTGTCTGTTCATTTGACATACTATATTCTCAAAATGTTTCTTGGGAATGCTAATATTAGAACTGGGAAGAATTAACACATTGAGATGTAAGAGTGAGAAGTTTACGTCACAAAATCTCAGTGCATTAAGTCCGAGTTGGCTGCTGAAATACAGTGGAAGAAAAAGTGCCAATAACCACAAAGGCGGCAGCGGCAGCAGTTTTTCCAGCCAGGTGTGTATGGAGCAGGTGGTTCTTCCAGCCATGAATATCATCTCTCACCTCCATCACTGCTACCACCCTTTCTTTCCATACAGCAGTGGAGGCGGCTGCCGGTCAGTGACAGCATGAATTCTTTGCAAAATTGGAGAAAGCTGGACCATGCAGAACTTTGGTTTGTGCAAAATGCTACTCTTGGGGGAAAAGGCAGTTTGTCATCAAAACTGAAATAGGGGTTAATGCAATCAAATTCTCAGCATGCACAAACACTGGCTCACCGATCACCTTATTGATTACAAATGCCATAAAAAAATGGTGGTAAGGATGTCCCCAACTCATAACCCTACTGAAAACAACATGCAAAAGAAATCCATATTATATTATTTGCAATGCTTTGGAAATAAAAATAGGTTGAAAGACTTATGTTCTGGTACTCCAGTTAGTCTGCAAATATTTGTATATCATATCAGATGGCTGAAAGAAAAATGAAAAATGTCATCTCATATTATACAATGTTCTTTCAGAGAGTGAAGCGAAGTTTCCACACACTGCATGGGCAGTTATCTCTACAAAAACCTTTATAGAAAAATATTTTTTACAAAAGAAAGAGAAGGCCTGTAAAGTTAAGCCTTCATGATGGATGTGTGGGTGAAATGAAGCTGAACAGAATTGTATTTTATTGTGAACATATAGATTTAATATATTAACAGAGGAAAGTTTGAAAACCCAGTGAGTCAAATCTGCAGCATTCTTTGAAGTTGCCAATTTTCCCATCTACAAAAGAGCTCAGTAAATATTGCTCTGGTGCCTTCCCTTTCATTTGTCGTTTTGTTATGTGCCAAGTCATCCCCAACTTGTGGCAACCCTCCAAAATGTCCTCATGACAGCCCTGCTCAGCACTTCTAACTTCAAGGCTGTGGCTTTTTTTGTGGAGTAGGGAATTTGTTCTTCCTTTTCTTCTTCTGCCTGCGACTTTCCCTAGCATGTTTGCCTCCTCCAGGAAGTTTTGCCTTCACATGATGCCCGCAAGCAGGACATAGAGCTATTATTGTTGGCTGTTATTGTTGTTTATTACATTACCATACCACCTGTAGCCAAAGCTCTCTGGGTGGTTTACAACAACAATAGCCCCAGCAACTGTTATTTCAAGGCATGCTGTTTCTTGTTCTAAAGTAGCCATATAGCCTTCATGACTACTAGCCCTTTATTGCCTTCATCCTCTATGGATTTGTCTAATCCCCATTTTTAAATCCATCTAAGTCAGTGACATACTTTGTTTTGTGGTGCCTTGAAAGCTGAATGTTGATTCAAGTTTTTTTTAAAAAAAGTTCTCCATCATTTCTCAAGGTGACTTCCCAATAACATCAGGTGTTGACCTGCATTGTAACCATTGCAAGAAGGATCTTGTTCTATATCTAATGTGGGAAGAGGATTTAAAAGCATGCCTGTTCCCAAGAAAAGCATGAACATAGTCCAGTGGTAGAGCACATGCTTTGTATGCAGAATGTCCCAGCTTCAGTCTCTGGAGCTTCTGCCAAAAAGCCACCGCTGGCCACACTCGGGAACACAAACAGTCCACCCTGAGCAAATAGGCCAGCCTGATAAAAGGTAGCTTCCCATGTCCTTAGATGCATTTATAACACTATCCTATATTGTTGTTGATTTACATAAATTTACTATCATGGAAGCTGTTATTACTATTTTTAACTTCCCTCTGTTTGAAAGAAAACCTAGCGTTTCCATGCGCATTCAGCCTCAGTAATTAGCAATTTTTCCAAAAAGAACCATACACAATTTTGACAATTCATTCTCAGTGTGGAAATATAGCCCCACTTAATGCTTATAATTCTGTGGGAAAGGTGCATGAAAAGGAGGTTGATGTGACCTTCTGGAGGATTCTGCTACTACCTCTCCAGGACTTAGCTGGGCTCTAGCTCTACACATTTGTTTGTATTACAGCATACCAGACTGGAAAAATATTCTAAAGTGTGAGTTGCTAATAGTGGCGTTTGGAATGTTGGCTCTTTGCACCCGGTGCCTGGTGATTTAGGAGGAATGGTTACTTGATGTGTCTGATTTATTAGTAGCTCACAGTCAGTGGCAAGTGTTGAAAGAATCTAACAAATACTGGGAGTGGGGCAGGGAAGAATCTTTTGGATCTGAGAAGTAGCTTTTTTGTTTGCTTGCTTATTGACAGCATGCATGCTATTCTCTGCCCAATTTCTGTCTGTTCCTAGTCTAATACTTTTCCATTTGTCTGACAGGTAAGCTGCAAAGTGCTTCAGTTTTTTCACCAGTACATGATGGGCTGTAACTACTTTTGGATGCTTTGTGAAGGCATTTATCTTCATACTCTCATTGTGGTGGCAGTATTTGCTGAAGAACAGCGGCTGCACTGGTATTACCTCTTGGGTTGGGGTACGTTGCTGGTTTTTGTTTTTTGTTTTTATCCTTTCAGCATTACAAGTCAACTGTTTCCTCTGCTTGCACTGCTTTTAAGTACCAGCCACCTTGTTTCATGGGGACTTGCAACATTCACAAAAACGCACAGCAAGCTTTCTTCTATCAGATAGGAGTTAGGCCTCTTATGGCAGACCGGGGGAACCCTCCGACCTCCTGGCTGAATCCAGCCCATGGAGCCCTGTGTATCCTCTGATCCCCACCCCACCCCACTCCCTCTTCCTCCTCAGCACTGCCACTTACTTACGACGTGGCCAAGTGGTTTTCTTTCAGTGTCACTGCTCTTTCCACCCTCTGCTCAGCAGATAACTTCTTGCAGAGGGCTTTTCTTAACTGCATCCCTCACTCCACTTTCAGCCTCTTTGGGGTGTCTTTCTCTGGTCCCAAGTTAGGGAAAAAAGACAAGAGATGGATTGTGGAGGTTTTCTTAAAGGAGAAATGCTTCTTAAAGGGCAGGGTCTGTGCTGGAGGTGGGCACTGATTTTGAGGAAGAGGGAAATGATTTGGGGTGAAATCTAAATGAGTGTCATTTGGTGGGAGATGAATGTACTGAGGCCACAGAGTCAGTGGAATGCTCCTAATGAATTCTGCCCAGCCCTATTATTTTTGCTGAATATTCCCAAGTCTAGAAGCCTGGCATCAAGTGCCCCAGTTTGGGTGGGGGGTGCAAGAGGGAATGTAAAGAGAGTTCAGAGGACAGGATTAAAAGACAAGGTATTTAGTAGACATGAAATTAAATTGGCAGTTGATTTTTACTTACCATGCTTCCTATGTTTATATTTAACTATTTTGCCATTTCTTTGTGATAATTTATGTTAGCCTTGGGCATTTTCATCTGAAACAGTAAATCAGAATATACGTCTCTTTAAAAGTAATATATATAAAAGCGAGGGGATCTTATATACATTTGCTGTGGCTTCCTTAAACATTATCATAATAACCTAAGGAATGTTTTTAATATACCTCTTTTATTTTATTTTATTTTATTTCATTATTTTATTTTAGTAAAGCGGTTGGTTCCCTGGGCATACATACCAATTATACAGGCCTGTGTGAGAACCTCCAGAAAAATATTCTTGCAAGTTGTCCAGCAACCTATTAATATTGACTTTTCTTGCAAATCATTGCTTTTTCTTCTCATCCCACAAGTGATATCACAGAAATAGTGTGCTGGGGGCAATTTAAGGATGACAAAGGGGCATTCCTGCCCACTGTTTAGGCCAGATGTAAATTATTACTCAGGAGCACCTGTGCTTCTGGGCATCTTACTGGTTTTCCACACTGACTGATCACAGTATAAAGTCTTTATAATCATGATCAATCAGAGTGCAGAACCAGTGAACCGACAAAAGAAAAGTGCTCCTGAGCCAGAATAATGTCTGGTTGGAACATGAGACGCAGTGGCCCCCTACCCTCCCTCAATACCTCTGGCAGGCCTGCAGTGAGATGACAAGGGTAGCAGGATAGTCATACTCCAAAAAGAGGGTGCACATGACAAAAGAAGAAGGCACAAATTTGCATGTGCAAATTTAGGAATAATGCTTCTTATTTTGCTAGAAATAAAATAGATGTCACCATTGTGCGGCAGACAACTGCCAGGTCCATGATGGAAGAAATGGGGGAAAAGGAAGTGCAAGCAATTTCTGTTGCAATATGAGAAAAACTGGCAGGAATGTTTTGTAGGTGAATGAGTGGGGGCAACCATTTTTAAATAATCCAGAGACTATTCTGGGTTCAGAAGAATGATTATGGCAATTAGGTGAAAAATTCATGGTTATCATTATCCTGCATGCAGCTCCAGAAGGACTGAGTACCACCCAGCTGGTTTCCCCCATCTGTACCTGATGAGTCTTCTTTCTCCTTCTTGAGAAAATCTCATGTACCTCTTTCTTCCATCCACCTCCTTTCTTTTTTTTCTCCGCCTCCCCACCATCTCATCTATACTCCTTTCTCCGTTCATCTCTGCCAGTGCAGTTTTCTCTCCCACTAGCCTTGCTAGCTTACAGAACAGCATCACTTCAATGCTTGCTGGGGTTTGTGGTCTGCTTGCTGAAGGCAGGAGAAGAAAGGGAAAGAATGCCAGCTTCCTGGATATATTGCTCCTTCCAACCTACTCTTAAACCATACAGATAGAACAGGTTTAAATGTATACATCACAGCAGTATTCACACTTAAAATAACATAATTTTAGAGGGAAATTTAGAAACTGGACCAAAACAAAAAAGAGAAAACTAAGGGCAGTCCAGGGCAAGAAAGGACATCTAACCACCCTAGGGCTGAAGGAAGCAGTGGCTTGCCAAGAAAGCTCTTGCTCCAGAGCATAGCTTTTCAGATGGATAGTGAGAATGTCTCTTAGGTGGGTACTAGCAACTCCTCACTGTCAGAGCAATACAACAATGGAACCAGCTGCCTAGAGAGCTGGTGGGCTCGCCCACACTAGAGACATTCAAGAAGAAACTGGGCAGCCATCTGAGTGGGATGGTATAGCACGGTGTCCTGCAACAGCAGGGGGTTGGACTCGATGGTCTTCATGGCCCCTTCCGCTCTACTATTCTATGATGCTATGATCTCCCTCTTAGACTACTGAACAGCATTCATAGCCTGCACAGGTTATAGTGGGCCCAGGAAAATGGGTCTCTCACACTGAGAGCATGAATAGGCTGCCCATATCAGCGAGTGGGCTAGTTTGCAGTATACAGGAAACAGAAGATACTCTATTTCTTTTTTAGCATGGGGCTTAAATCCTTGAGACTGTGTCTGGCTTAATCTTGTGTCTGGCACACAGTTATAATGAATAGCATTATGCCAGCCCCATGAATTTAACATGAATCAGCATCCATGAGCATGCTAATCAGAAGATGAACTAAATGAACTGCCTGAATTTTATTAAGAACTGTTAAAAATGCAAAGCTGCAACCTGCCACACTTCCATTGCAAAGAAATCTTTCCTATTCTTTTTAAATTTATTTTCGTTATAGTGGCAAATTTGCACATTACAATTGGAGTTCAGTAGATGTAAAACTGCGTATATAGATCATTGAAGCAAGAATTGTCACTGTTATCTGAAGCTGAAATTAGAAATGTTTGTAAGAAGAACCATCTCATTTTTATTAAAGCAATCTGAATATAGATTGTTTTGGTAAGATGTTCAGTTGTTGTTCCAGTAACATCAACACTAATCATATGTTACAAACATTAACTTAACAGAATGCTGACATTTGTGGAGTCTTGGAATTATTTGCAAAGCTTCATCTGAACACTTTGTAACTTAACTTTATATTTTTTAAGCAAAATAAAATTCTAGTTTTAAAAGATAAAAAACATAGCTCAGTACATATCTATTTGGAGGTAAATGTGATTGACTTCAATAGGGCTTACTCCCAGGTAGGGAGGAATTGGATTGCAGGCTAACCTAATCTAATTGAAACAAATGTTTGAAAATATATTCCCACCATGAGGTTTTAGAATCATTTCCTGTCCACTGTTATCAAAGCACCGCAGATGGTGATGCCAAGTTCAATTAATTTATTTTCAATTGTGCCAAAAAAGAGCACATTTGCCTAACCTGAAGACTAGATTAAGGCTAGGTGAAAACTTAGTTAAGACGTAAGATCTAGCCATAGTTTAACAATAAGGAAACAACCCTACAGAAGCCTTTGATTCATAAACTCACCTTCCCTTTCAATGAACAAGAGCAGGGGACTGAACACTTCTCCCTTCCATTTGGAAGTAACCACAATTCCATGTGGCACCAAAATTCATGGAACTATGGTTTGTTCTCACTATTGTTTATTGAAACAAACCAGGATCAAATAGAATAAACCAAGTTAATATAAACAAAAGAAACAGAAATTGTGAGGTTCATTCATCCCATCTTCAAATACCCTAACACCCTGAATTTAACAGGGGCATTTATGAGGATAGTGTTAAATCAACATATTATGAAAAAGTAACTTTATGTCTGAACTCCCCGGTGTGCCTCATCCAACACTAACATCTCTTGCCGTGATGCAGGGCATTCATTAAAAGCCTCTCTTGTTTAGATCTTTTTGAAGAGCAAGAACAAGTAATTGATTTGCAGTCAGTGGCTGAATCAGAAGAGATTACAGTCTGCTAAGCTCATGAGAAACATGGAGAGGCACAAAAGGAAAGCTAAAGGAGTGGAGCAATTGCTCAGTGGCAAAGCACATGCCATGTATGGAGAATGTCCCAGTGTCCAATCCTTTGGTGTCTGCTGTTAAAAAATAGATCCCTAACAGATGAGGCAAAAGTCCTCTGTGGAAGAGCTGCTGCCAATCAGAGTAGATAATACTAGGTTATACACACAAGTCTGCCTTTGTGTAAGGCAGCTTCCTATGTTACTAAAGGCTGTCAGAATCTTCCGCTTCTCCTTTCTTCTTCATGGATTTAGAGACTAATCACCACTAGAATGATCAATGCAAATATAAGCCCACTATGGTGCAAATCCATGCAGGATTGGAAAAGGTCCTTCAACTCCCAGCAAGTGTCAGACAGCCATACATAGGTAAATACATTTATGACTATTTTACCTGTACTCACCTTTTTACCAAGAAATGGCACTCAACATGGCATTCCAAGCATAACTCACTTATAAACAAAGGAGCAGAAGTTGACCTCTAGGCGTTTTGATGTCTTATATTCTGGCAAGGGTGGGCAACTCATGGCCTTACAGAAGTTGTTGGATTGCACCCTCCAGAGTCAACACTAGCCAGAATAGCCAGTACAGAGGGATGAAGGAAATTCCAGGACAGCAACTTCTGGAGAGCTACAATGTGCTCACCCTCTAAATAATTAATATTCAGGAAACATTCAGAAGTCAGGTTTTTCCCTTTGTCCATAAGTGGACTATGCTTGAAAGCTACCTTTAGTTCCATTTTTTGGTAGAAAGATGAGGTGTAAGTCAAAGAAATAAAGAGCACAATGGCCTCTGTTAGGAAATGTTTTGCATTTGCTGCAATATTTGTTTTTACGTTTGCAAACTGCCTACGTGATTTTGGGCAGTAGCTGCAATGGCAACCTTTTCTTTGATTGGACAGACCCACAAACTTTACAGCCTTCATATGGAATAGCTGCCTTGTGGTAGTACTCATTTCACATGACTGCGTCACATGACATGGCTTAAGATACAAGCCATGTAAAGGACTTACCAGGGAAGGGGCCATTGCCCAAGCAATACTGCAGCTGCCTTGCATGCAGAAGATCTCAGGTTCGATCCTGAGCACTTCTGCCTCCAGGGGAAGCTAGGACAAACTCCTGTCTGAAACTGGATTGCCACAACCAGTCCTGGTTGGCCATCCTAGGCTACAGGTACCCAAGGTCTGACCTACTATAAGGTAGCTCCCTATGTTCCTATAGCTCTTCTGTCATGCTCATTCTAAAATCCTTTAGAAGAGGTTCTTTGCATTCTGAAATATTATGAGATCTGATGTATATAATTTATTGTTTCAGGATTCCCCTTAGTTCCAGCATCAATTCATGCTGTGGCACGAACCAAATACTTCAATGATAAGTGAGTATTATACCTTTCTTTGTAATAACTCACTACACTTTTTGTTACTCTTTTAATACTGTTCTTCTTCTTGCAGTTGCTGGATTAGTGTTGACACTTACTTGCTGTATGTTGTTCATGGACCTGTGATGGCAGCTTTATTGGTGAGAAAACCACTTGTTTTGGTTGTCTTTATTTATTATTACTTTGATCGGGGGCATTGAACCTCTTTCATTGAACCCATAGAAGACACCAGTTTAGTGTCTATTGTTCCATCCTAAGGGTACGCACTATTTCTAAGCGGCAGATTATCTAGGATTGTAACTGTGTAATCTGCAATACAGGCAGGAACTTTACCTCAGTGGTAGATCACATTCATGACATATAGAAGGTTCTAAATTCCATCCCATGTATCTCCAGATATAGCTAGAAAAATATCTTGCCAAACCCTGGTAAATTCTGTGGCTTGGCAGTGCTGGGTTACATGAACCAATGTTTTGACTCCATTTAAGGCAGCTTGCTACATTCCATGCAAACATGGAGAGAGAACTGCATTGCTGCTACTGCTGCTGCTGCTGCCACTGCTGCTGTTTATTGGTGCCAAGCTCCTAGCATGGGGTGTACAAATGCTTCCTTGCCTCCTTCTAGCACCCTTCAGCATATCTGAATCAAGCCTTTTCTTCCCCTCCTTCGTGACTTAGTTTTCTGAGTACTGTTAGTTTTACTCCATACATTTTACCTTCAGCTCCATGCCTTATCCTTGCAGCATGAGTCTTTTCTTCCAGTGAATAGAGCTTTTGTGATATTCCTGGGGATATTTGTTGTTTAATGTTTGTTTATGTGCCATCATCTCACGTCACCTCCAACTTATGCTGACCCTATGAATGAAAGTCCTTCAAAATGTCCTGTCCATGACAATTCCATTCGATTCTTCCAAGCGGGAGTTGGGGCTTCCTTTATGGATGCAGTCCATCTCATATCTGGTCTTCCCTTTCATCTTCTGCTTTCTGCTTTCTGTAACATGATTGTCTTCTCCATTGTGTCTTGCCTTCTCATGATGTGGCCAAAGCATGACAGCCACAGCAATTAGCAGTAGTTATGGCTAGTGTTGCCCAAAGCATGCAATTCATCAACAGCTGAAAAGCCTGTAGTTAGCATGGGTCCTGGCACATCCAAATGGCTGGAAGGCACAGATGGCAGCTGGAAGGTAGCTACGCTTCTCAATATGCCAGGCATTATATCAGCAATATTAAAAATGCAGTTTATCTATTCTTACTATGCAAATAATGTCAGACCAGTAATATTCAGTACTTTGGCTATGAAAGGAAGACATGGGCAGGAATGGTTTGCTTTAACAACAGCATGACTCGCACTTGCTATGTGGGGCACCATTACTGTACAAACCCATTGAGGAGGGAACTGTGAAACCCAAAGCTATTTCATACGTGCATATTCTTGCTTCCTTTGTACTTGATAACATCCTTTCATCATGAGATTGCAACACATGCACTTCCTGGAAACAGAATTGTCTTCTACCTTGAACTGTGCAAGCCATTCTGTCAGCATTCCAGAGCTTTATATACAAACTAAATAGATCAGCATGAGACAACATCCTAGATCATATAAGACAACATCCCAGGAGAATCAAACTGGAATGACCTGCTATCTGACCTTTGCTTGTAGACATGAGCATCATCTGTTTATGAGAACAAATACTTTGGTGATGCATAAGACAGAAATGGCAAAAAGTAACCTCAATCTGTCTTCATGATATTAATTTAGTTTTCAGTCGCTCAGCAGAGGTTAATGCCATAGTACAAATTATTTTGTTTGGAAAAATAAGGTACTGGTTGCATTTGGACTTAAATTACTCAATCCATTTACCCAGAAAGGAAATGGCATATGACCGTTTTCAGTGCAGCAGTCTGTGAAAGCAAGTTGCTGTGCTTAATGTCATACTAAGTTTTATCTTCTGGATGGGAATACCTTGCACGCTCCTTGTCCTCTCCGGAACTACAACCAGCTCAAGATTTATTGCAGCAGTCTATTTTTCCTTTCCCTCTGGAACCATAAATGATGGAGCTTGGCTGACAATATGCAGACCTTTTCCTATTTTTGAATGCTTCCTTGAGCTGTATACACTTCAGTCCCTCTGAGAAATAAACGCTCATTGTATTTTTAAAAGGAACTATAGTCATTTTGTAGAGGCAAAAAACCCTGTATGATGATTGCTGTTCTTTACTATCTGGTTTGCTCATTACCATGCTGGCTTTCCAGAAATGCATCGCTTATGAACTCACCAGACACTGAAGGAGAGATAATGGCACTTAGGCTCCAAACAGACATGTCTTTAAAAATGGTATGTTAGCCCTGTTCAGGCACATTTCTTCCTGTGTTCTCCATCACAAAAGAAGGAAGAGCAGGGATGCACTTGTTTGTGCTGCCACCTCCGTCACACTTTTGATGGCAGTGGCCTACCGCCTTCCCTGTCTTGGGGATAAATCTTTCAAACAGGGATACTTCTCTACACCTGGAATCTACTCCCATAGAGCTGTATGTGAGATATAGTATTCACACCTGTATGTGAGATCAATTCCCGGGGCGAAATAGCAGGGTATGCCGAGTCCTTTTAACAGCTTACATGGCTTGACAGGAGAAAATTAATGGGGCCTAATGAGATTCTAATTACTAATCACTACAGTATCTTTTGCCCAGCAAGACAGGTGCTTGCTGTTCCATATTTCCATTTCTGTACATTTTGGCAAGACCCCATGGCAGTTTTCTTTGGGAGGAGGCAATAATGTGGATATATCTTGTGACGGAAAGTTCTTTAATATTTAATGATACATATGTCATTTTGAATTAACTGCCCATCTCTTGGAATTTAACCCAAGGTTAAATATATGGATTTACTGGGTTCTTTTCACAACTAAAAGTCTAATGCTTCAGCTACAACTTTGGGATACAATAATACAATGGGTGGAGAATTTAATTAAACTTTTGATTTTTGAACAGGTGGTTATTTAGTGTGATCTACAAATCAATACATACATGGATATTTGGGCTGCCTTCATTGAAGTTTATGAATAATTATTTTAATTAATGGTAGTATGCTCTGCTTTATACTAATACAGAGGGATCTATACTATATTTGCAATGGGTCTTGTGGATCTTTGTAAATCTTAGCCAAAACATTGTAATATTTTGGTTCATTGTATCCTTTCTTTTTCTTCCTTCTATAGCCTGGTTTCATATAATGCACATGATTGTTAGCTAAATAAATAAATAAAAGGTGGGGGAATTGAGAATGAAAGGGGGAAAATCAGGTGCATTTTCCTTGCATTCTGCTGAAGGCTTCCATCTACCAAGAGTGCAATTCATAGGTGTGCACCCTTAATTACTTTATTTGAAGGGCTCTTTTTCAAATATAATAGAGCAATATATTATCTGAAGCACCCACTTAAAATATATCCCCCAAATTTCACTTGCATATTCTTTTATCAGGGTCAACAGAGCTCAAAATCAACTGAATATATATAATGCACAATATCTTAAAAATCACTATATAGGAAACACATCCCCTTTTAAAGTGATCATTTTATAAAAATGGGAACTATTTAGAAAAGCAATCTTTGTAATTAGGGTTCAGCGATCCCTAATTTGCATAGATACTTTGTTCAATATAAGTAATTCCCATACTTTGTCAAATTGCTCTTTCATAGGTGATTCTTGGGGCATTCCCATTGTGAAGCCAGCTGAAATGGTCCCTGCTTTTCACAAAAGACCTAAGCTAAATTGGTGGCCATCACCAAATCCTCTGGAAGCAGATTTCATCGTTCTCCTATGCACTTTGTAAGCTTCCTTTTATCTGTCCTGAATCTGCCTCTATTCAGCTTCACTAGATGTACCTAGGTTCTAATCTTATGAGAATGAAGGGTGCGGGGAGAGCCCTTCTCATCTACTTTGTCTGCTGCATGTATCATTCTATACCCCCATGCATTTCCCTTTCTTCCCTAGCCATCTTCTCCAACATAATGTCCTCCAGATGCTGTAGCTGTCAATTCCCATCTTTTCCTCCCTCCCTCTTCATGCCTTCTGTCACAGGGTGGCATCTGTATCAGGCCACAGTGGCGCGAAAGGTCTGTTCTCACTGAAGCAACAAGGACCTTGAGCTAGCAGTGTCTGAGCAAGAAAGGGATTTTGCAGCAGTAGTGGCCAGCACACTGAAAATGTTGGCCCAATACTCAGCTTCTGTGAAAAAGACAAACTCCATGCTAGGCATAATTAGGAACAGAGCAGCAAATAGAACTGCCAAGATCTTATTCCCCTTATACAAATCTTTGGTACATCCACACATAGAACATTGTGTTCAGTTCTGGTTGTCTTGCTTGAGAAAGGACAGGGAAAAAGTTGGAAAAAGTACAGAGAAGGGCAACAAAAATAATCTGGGGGACGGAGCAACTCCCCTGTGAAGAGTGGCTTCAACAACTAGAACTGTTTAGCTTAGAAAAAGAGGCAGGTGAGAGGAAGCAAGATAGAGGTGTTTAAAATAATGTACGGTGTGGAGACAGTGGAGAGGGAGACATTTTTCTCCCTCTTCCATAACACACAAACCCAGGGTCATTCCATGAAGCTGATTGGTGGGAGGTTTAGGACAGATAAAAGGAAGTCCTTCTTCACACAGCATATAGTTAAACTGTGGAATTTGCTGCCATGGGAAGTGGTGTTGGCTGCCAATCTGTATGGCTTTAAAAGAGGATTGAACAGATTCATGGAGAAGGTGGCTATCAGTGGCTACTAGCCTTGTGGGCTATATGCTACCTCCTTTACCAGAAGTGGCATGCCTGCATAAACCAGGTGCAAAGGAACTTGAGCAGGTGGAGGTCTTGCACTCATCCTGCTTGAGTGATCCTGTGGGCAGCTGGTTTCCCACCATGTGTACAGAGTGCTGGACTAGACGGACCTTTGGTCTGATCCAACATACCTTTTCTTAGGTTCTTATTTACTTTCCTACTCCCCCAGCCTCCTTCACAAACCCCAGAGTCACAAAGTCAGCTCCTCACTGGAAGGCAACTAACGTTATGTACTAGTGTCACAAGCTAGAGTAGACACCACCTTTATGTTATGGAATTTCAACTGATCTTGTTTCAAGATGCATATTAAAAAGAAAAACTTGAGTAAGAGAGAGAGGGGGAGGGAGAGAATGATTGACTGAATATTTTACTAGTTCAGATGGGTTCAGATGGGTTCTATTGCTTGTAGAGATAAAGAAGTGACAATAATAAAAAAGCACTTGTTTTTGCAGGTCAATTTTTTCTTTTTGCTCAACATTGTACGAGTTCTGGTAACAAAACTGAGAGACACGCATCGGGCTGAGTCCAACATGTACATGAAAGCAGTGAGAGCCACTTTAATCCTTGTGCCCTTACTAGGAATCCAGTTTGTCATTATTCCCTGGAGGCCTGAAAACAAACTGGCTGGAGAAATATATGATTATATCATGCATATCCTGATGCATTACCAGGTATGGGATTATCACGCTGATTATGCTTTTTGGTGATGCATTTACTGGGAGGTTTACTTGGCAGAGGAGTCTTTTCCCAAGAAACACAGCTGACTTCAGCTAATGGATTAGTGCCACTTAAGTCAATGGGAGGAAGGCAGCTTTGCACCAGCTTAATTGATTTGTGGAATGGTATTTCCTAGATAAATGATCCATGCTTAAAATATCTAAGGCGCCTTGCCTATACTTTGGCTGCAACCTTATGCACACTTATTTGGAAGTAAACTCCACTAAAATCGGACTTATTTTGAGTAAACATGGATAGGATCGTACACTCACCATTTAAACCTGCCCATAGTGATCATGCCTTCATAACATCATGTCTGGACTACTGTAATGTGCTTGCCCTGACACTGCCCTTGAATCTGGTTCGGAGTCTGCAGCTGGTGCAGAATGCCACCGGTTGGGTATTTATTTATTTATTGAAAACATTTCTATGCCGCCCCCATCACAACAAAGCCTCGGGGCAGCTCACAACAAAAACAAAAACATACAAAATTATACAAAAATGGCATGCAAAACCAGAAATGTTTTACAACTGTTCTTCATCATCTGCATGGCCAGCCTACGCTTCAAAGCCTTTTTCAGGATATTGATGTTGATTTATAAGGCCATAAAGAGCCTGGGGCTTAAGACTTCTGGGAGTGTCTCTCCTGGTATGCACCAGCCCCGGCCTTTGAGTTCTTTTCAGGGCAATGCCCTGGTTGTGGAGAGCTCATTATGGGATTGGCAGTGCCCCAGTCATTTTCAGCAGTCTCAGTCACTTAACAGTCACTTAGGATGCAGCTTTTCACACTTCCTTTTGAGTTCTTTTGATGACACTTTTGAGTCTTGTTTGCTGAACAGTTGAGTACATTTATCTTACTGCTAGCTTGGTTTTGATTAATTTTAGAGATTTATAAGATTGGTTTATTGGAGCTTGCATTTTATATTACTGTGTATTTACAAACTGTGCTTTTGAAGAACAATATATAAATCTAACTAATGAATACATGGTAGTAAACACACCATTTTGGACGTGAATAATCTCCCCAAAAGCCAAAAACAAAAGATCCATTTGCAGAAAACTAGCTAGAAAGAATACATTAGAACTGTTCTCACAGGCAAAAGGGCATCTCTGCCTGAACTTTCTTTCAGGATGGTTAACAGGTTGGCCACTTGAAAATGCCAGTCCTTGGGGGAGGGACAAGATGCTAACTTCATCTATTTGAAGCCCTGGCAAAGAGTATGTGGCTCAGCAGCAGTGGAGTTATGCAAACATGCCTATGGGAGAGATCATATGGACAATTACAAAGCATGCTTGAGATGTGAGGGGCACCAGGGAATAGCTTGGGAGACCAAGGTGCAGAACCTCTTTCAGCCCAAGGGCCAGATTCTGTTTCTTCTGAGGGGGCATTCCAGTGGTGGGTGGGGCTGAATGCCAAAAGGGCAAGGCCAAAAATACCAATATATTTTAGCCTATAGTTCTTTCTTGCAGTAACTAAGCTTTTAGGAAAGGTATATCATTGTTTCAGAATGGCAAAAATAAATAAATAAAATAACAAAATACCAAAAAATCCCAATTTTTCCATCCTATTTATGAAGTAATCTGCATTTGGGTATATATTTACTGAAAATGAAGTGAAACAAATTCTTTATCCTTCCTTGCACAGAATAGTGCACTCTACATGGTCAGCTACTACTGCAGAAACCCATACACAGGGTGGATAGTCATTTCTCTCACTCTTGGGCAGTAAGCAACTCATGCCCTTCCTACAGCTTTTAGATTTGGTTTCTTGGCACAAGTGTGATCAGCATGACCAAGTGCACTACAGGCTGATTGTTCATTTAGATTGCATTAAAAATGAGCAATGCACAATGATAGTTAAGAGTTAGGAGCTCACCTTATATCAGGCCAGACCTCTGGTTTATCTAGCCCAGTGCTGTACATTCCAGGGGTTCAGAACCCCTGACTTGGGGTGAGAACCAGCCCTCTCTGGGTGCCAATTCAGGCCTTTGCGATTCCCAAAAAACTGTATCTTTCCCCTATCCACACCCCTTTCATCCACCCACGGATTGTATGGTGCTCTGTTGGCTTTTATGCAGTTTTCCCTCCATTCTAGAATGTTGAAATGCCACTCCTAAGGTTCGGTTACCGACAGGAAGAGTTTGGAACAAAAATATGCAGTAGGGATGTTTGAAGAATCAGTTTTGTGGGTGGGAATCCATTGGATTCCCCAGACTCAGCTCCCCAGGCTCCAGTCCACTTTGTGGCATCCCAGAGTCGGAGCTCCTGGCAAGTGTGCCCAGTGTTTGTGGGATCCTTATCAGGAATCCAGCCCCATTCTCTGTGCAAGCAGAATCCCTCTTCCACACCACACAAACAGCCTTTGTCTGAGCTGCTGCACCTGAGACAGAAGAAGATTGTCCATGAGGGATCACCTGGCATGGAGTCCCACACAAGTGCTGTGCAAATAATGCCTCTTTTCTGTACCTCAGGCAGTGGCTCCTTTTTGTGCTGCTGCTCCTGACATGGAATGAGATGGCTAGTTACACAGCCTTCATTCCATGAGTGTCCATGGACTTCCCCTCAGGTCGGCTCGCTTGCCAAGACCAGGCCAAGCATGAGAGGATGTCTGCAAATGCCAGAGGAACAGATTCTGAAAGGGTTCGCCCTGGCCTTTTGACTATTTAGGCCTTGAGGCCTTTTTTTCCTCACCCACCACTGAAATGGAGCTCCCAAGAGCTTCTCCAGAAGGGAAGTTCTGTGCCACTGGCCAGTTCTGACTGACAGTGGTTCTGCAGGCTGCCAAGGGCAGATCACCTCCTACCTGATCCTTTATTGACAGGAGATGCTAGGGACTAATTCTGAGATTTTGTGTATACAAAGCTTGCCCTCTGCCTCTGAGCTTTGGTCTACCCCCGAATGAATACATGAATTAATAAATGCAATGATAATTATCATTTGTTATTAGCAATATAATACATAGCTAAACCTGTAGTAAGACTACTTTGCTTTTACTTAATATTTTTGATTGTTCAAATTGTATCATATACTTTGGTTTGTCATTATAATAATGAACATTATAATAGTAAGCGACCACAAACCTTATGAATGCATGGATGTTGGGGAGATACAAACTGACTCCAACCCACTAGGCAAATCACTGCATTACCACCAGAACTAATCTAATCACCCTGGAAGTGATTACCCGCATCATTCGCTAATGCAAATAGTGAGTAGATCCCATTCTTTGGAAAGAATGTCAGATGACAACTGTCCTGTGATTGACTAGCTCCCACTGAGGCCACCTGACATGTCCTTTCTTCCTTACCATCTTCCTTGACATGACCAGCTGCAAAATGCCCACATTTTCGTATACAGCAGCCTTCCCCAACCTGATGCCTTCCAGATGGATTGTACTACAGCTCCCACAGTCCTCAACCAATATGCTAGTCATGCTGGCTGAGAATTGTTGGAGTTGTACTCCAGCCTCTCTGAAGGGCACTAGGCTGGGAAAGTTTGACACACCATAATAATTATCTTATAAGGAAAGGCAGTCATATAAGGGTCATTCTGTCCTCAGTTGTTTACGGATCCCAGTTCCAGCCATTTAATTTCACCTTTTCAAAAGCAAACCATAAATATACACACTTTTCACAGTCCTCCTGGCTGCTTAACTGTGCAGACATTACTGCTTTTTATTACTGCATTTATTGCCGTTACTTTCTATCTTATTGAAATAACGCCTCTTTCAGGGTAAAGGCTTTTTAGGCATAGCTCTTTTTCCTCACCTCTGGCACTGTCCTGTACAGAATAGTTAACTACAATCTAATTTTAAGGCCATTTGGGCGAGCTTATTGTCATCAAGTATGGCTCTCTATTGTACTCCTGCAAAAGACAGTGTGGCTATAAAAAAGCAAATGAGAACAGAATTTAAAGGAACAGGACCAAGGTACAAGCCACTGCATGACCCGTGCCTTCATTAGTGGTATGCAGTAACGAACAAGGGGTGGGTGAGGAGTTCATTGTGTTTGCAGTTTTATGTAAGAATACCTAATTTACACCTTCCAAGAGCAGATGTAGAATGGAATGCATCTTACTAGCAAAATCTGTACATTCCCAAGACTTGCAATGATTTCCAGGGGAGGGGAGGGGATAGGTATGAAATTGAAGTGTGCTCTCAAAGAAAATGCACAATTTTGTCCATAAAATATCTCTGGACAAAATGTAAATTATGCTTACATTTTGAAAAATGCCCATGAAAATATGTACGGATTTACATGCGGGCTAAATAAAAGCTCATTTAGCATAAAAGCTCATTCATTTAGCTCAAAATCCAATTCAGAGCTGAGTTGAAATTGAACATATTTATTTATTACATTTCTAGACCACCCAATAGCCCAATTTCTGTCAGATTTGGTTTGGGGAAAAAGAGAACTTCAACAAGATAGAGTTTGACAGAGTCAACCATCCCGGGTGCAAATGTTTGGTATTAGAAAATTGTCTAGCACTGCAACCGTACACACATTTGCCAGAATATAAGCTCCATTGAACATAGTTAAGACTTACTTCCAAGGACACTGTAAGGGTCAAATGACACATTTCATTAAAGCTATAGTTTGGCATTCCTTGTTTTTGATCTTTTGGGGTTTTTTTCCTTTTAAAATAAGGGAACATGGATTAGGATTAAGGGAGCATGGATTAGGATCAAGATAATAACATTGATCCTCATATTCCTGGTGAAAACATTCCCTGTCCCAAGCTTCAGTTTGCTTCTGGATCAAAGCTGCCATTGCCACTGCTGAAGCTCAGGCCATGCCTTGTATGTGTCACAGGACATTTGGACATTTATGTTACAGGATGATTGTGCTGGATGAAATCCTGCAGCACTCTGCCGATTCCTTCCCATCCCACTGATTCTCTTCCATACCCTGTGGGTCCTACCAGTACCACTGTACAAGGAAGATCCATCACTTTTGCAAGGGAGACTTAGCTCTTCCCAGGGTAATCAAGCAGAAATGCTTTCTAGAAGGCAGATTAGCAAAGCTACTGTATAAAATACCTGCCAACTTGTCTCGTTCCTAAATGAGCATTCCTGCTTTTTTAAGGTTGTCCTGGAAACACGAAATCACTATCATGCGAGCAGTGGGGCTGCTTGTGCAACACAATCAGAGTCTTGGTGGGCACAAAAGTGCCTGTTGGATTTTGCCCCATCTCTGAAAATGGATAACAACTCTTTAGAGTAATGTGCCACTAATTCCCCTTGTAAACGTAAATGCCGCTGGTACCATTTCCACAAACATCCCTACAACTTCCTGTTGGTTTTAACCAAACTCCTGCAAGACTCAAGCAATTAGAAATGCTACTTCACACAGCACTCAATTAAGCTATAGATCGAATGCACTTTGCCAAGATACGGCGATGGCCACCAAGTTAGGCAGCTTTAAAATGGGATGAAATAAATTAATGGATGATCATGCCACACGTGGCTCTGTGCTACCTTTAGGGTTACAGTCAGCACACCTCTGAATAGCAGCTAAATAGCAGCAGGAAGCAGCTGTTGCCCTCTGTCCTGCTGAGGCAGGTGGCTGGCCACTGGGAAACAGGATGTGGGAAAAACAGGGCTTTGCTCTGATCCAACTGGGCTCTTCTTATGTGTTCAGCCATCAGAAGCATATTGCACCACCTGAAATGGATATGGTGTCTGTATCAGTCCCTTGCATCATAGATGAGAACAGCTGAGATAACAGAACATCACAGGAACAACCTGAATTATTGTCTTTTCTTTCCTAGGGCTTACTTGTGGCAACTATTTTCTGTTTCTTCAATGGAGAGGTAAGCATATGAACAATCGATCTTTGCTTTATGATAATTCAGACAGCCGCCGTTCACTCTTCTTGTATCGAGTGGAGATGGGTGACTCCCCAGCTCACATGAGATTGTGCTCCCCAGCCTGGAAAATAAGCCAGGCTGCCTCCTGCCCTGACCCCAACATCAGAAATGGCTCAGCTTGTGTTCCAAGCTGGTCTGGCTTCAGAAGTTCCTGCTGGGGGGATGATTTTTCCCAAAGGGTGTTGACACTACCAGCAAACTGAGGAGATAAAGGAAAGCTCTTTTGTCTTCTCATGGCTGAAGTGACACCATCTCCACTGCTACCCCAGCCAGGTAAGTGCTATTCAAATGGAGGAAGGACTGGGGAAGTTAAAAAGGAGGGAGGGAGGTGCAAGAGGCTAGATTGGGCGGGGGTGCAGTAACCAGAATTTCTTGCCTGCCTCAGATTTTAATGGAAGCTGGAAATTAATTTAGGAGCCCTGTAATACCTGCAGTTTTAGCTGATAATTGATAGCTCATCTTTTCAGTGAAAATTGCACACCCTGCAAGCCCTCCTGGAAGCACGTGAGCTTTACCAATGTCTCTAAACAACAAGAACAAAGGTCTGGATCCGTCCTGTGCACCAGAGTCCCAGCAACACAGAGAGAAGTGAATGAGCAACTTGAGGCAGAGATCTTACACCAGAAACCTCTTGGCAAAGGAAGTCATCTGCACAGCCATCCTCTTCCCTATAGGCAGTATTCACTCATTCATTCATTCTTATATTTCTGTCCTGCTTCTGAACCATACAGTTCCCTAACAAACTGTAATTATCTCAAAATTCATTTCATAAAACTTAAACTGTCATCATAAAAAGCAACCATGTGGCCTGGGATTCAAAGAGGTAGTTCAGGTATGCATAAAATAGTGATAGTGCCCAGTGAGACTGATGCTTTTTTCAATGTTGAGCAAATGAAGTCACCAAAGTTTTTGAAGTTTCACTTGACTTATGACAGGATGAGGGGTGCAATTTGAAAAACGCAAGTTGCAAATCCCTTTGCACATGTGGAAGTAGTTGCATTATTGTTTTGGTCCTAGCTATCAAATACAATATTGTTATCAGGCTGGGGGTTAGACTAAATGATCACTTGGTGTCCATTCCAAACCTGTGATTCTGTGGTCATGCAAGGAGGACTGCTAAAGTGGGGCAAAGTGGTTGGACAAGTCTGGCTAGGAGGATCCCCGTTGTTAGGGAGACTGGGCTGGCAGCTCTCAGACATAGGCTAGAACCATGACTAGGAAATTCTATTAGAAGGTGATGTTTCTTCCCCACCACCCTGCCAGCTAAAGAACAAAGTAATCCAAGTGCCTGTATGAAAAGAACAGACTGCAATTTTGTGGTGTTTGACACCTGATGTCGTGTCTTATCCCTCCCACTTACAGACACACACACCTCCCAGCAGTTGAGATTGCTGTGAAATAGTGTTCTGCTGAGACAAAAAAACTGGATTCAAAGAAGTGTGTTGGTGCTCAATCCCTGGCTTCGCCTGGTACACAGGTTTTTGGGCAGATTGATTGTTCTTTGTCACAACCTCCATGGCAACCATCTTGTGGTGGTGCCCAGAACACTTCCCCACATTACCGTATGTACCCACAGCTCAAAGAATTGCTCATCCTGGCCCAAGAAGTCATGGTATGTGGACAACTGGGATACTTAAACTGCCCCCCTGCCTATTTTCTGCTTGTAAATTTGTTAAATAAATGCAAATATTACAAAATACTAATAAGGTTTAATGATCTCCTTCCAAATGAAACCAGCTCAGGATAATCACTGCACCCATGGAAATTTGAACAACTTAGAAGTTTTCTGGGGGGGGGGGGTCAAAATATCCTAAAATCCTAAAATCTATAAATATGTTGTATATTTATTTCAACCATGATTGACAAATTTTGCCAGTATGTTTATATGAAACCAGCATATGTTGATTCCTAGTGCTAAATATTCTTAGAAGCAGTCAGTCATGATATAAATACAGTATATTATTTCATTCAGACATTCAGTAACTAGCACTGACACTTTTCCAAATTCATCAATTTTCAATAGTCCCATGGGTGAATGTTTTCTCACACTTTCATCTTGTCAGATCAATATTTTGTATTCCTTCTATTGTCTGCATTCTTCTTCTTCAGTAATGATAAAAAGTCTCAGGAGAACATTTCAAGCTTCCCCTTGCATTTACTAGAAGCCACTCTTGAGAGGCAATTTTAAGAAAAAGAAAAGAAACCCCTTCATGATCCTACAAGACTTTATGACTACAGTAACCTGCTGAAATGAAACCAGAGCCAATTTCTCACACTCCCATCCATGTGCTCCCTCCACATGTGGAACAAGAGGTACTGGCCCCAGATTAACATCTGCATATGGGGTGGAATGTAAAATGGGGCCTACTGTATATGTACAAATTTGGTTAGACCTGGATTAGCCTTCCATTGATTAAGTGCTCCATTTATGGAAGGTGCCTCTGCCCAGTTGCCAGGGATTCCTCCTGCCGTTTCCCACACACCACAGTTCATTCTATTCCTCAGGGTCCCTGACCCTCTGTGTGGCATTTGGAGGGGATGCTATAGTGAGAGAGGGACTGATGCCCTTCAATTGGCAATTCAGTGGAATTTTATAGCAATTAACATCTGAGTAAATGTTTTAGGGGATAAATCCATTTCCCCCACCCTATTGTGTGTCTGACTACAACTCCCATCATCCCCAGACAGCACAGCCAATGAGAACTATAGTCCCGCACATCTGGAAGGGAAAGCTGGTTTAACGTTTTACCAATGTTGGGCATGGGTCTCAGCATGTTCAAATGTTATATTAGCTTCTTAAATTTTAACTTTGCATATTATACTACTGGTAGTTATTCCTATCACACTTTTTTGCTGTGCAAAGTGCTCTGCTGTGTCTTTCATCTTGTTCATCCTTGTCTTATAAGGTAGTTCAGATAAAGTCAGCATGACTGCAGTCACCCAGTGAGATTTCCAACTTTTTAAAAAGTGCACAAGTTAAAAGAATACTTTGGTGAGGACACCTGGAAGGAGGTGGGGATGAACAGGAAAGGACTTCAGCTTGGCAGAGAGCACACACTTTGCATGCAGAAGCTCCTCTCCTCAGTGCCTGTCAAAGTTCAGGGTGAAGGGGTGAAAAAGTTTCAGACAACTGCTATCAGACAGAGTAGGCAGTAGACAGCCCTTGTCTACTAGAATAAGTCAGTTTCTTGCATTCTTAAACTTTGGAAGTAAAGATAGACTTGATCCTTGTTGTGGAAAAATAAATTGGTTCCTTTGGACTACTGCTTCTCCCTGGGGCAGATTTCGTCTTGGTTGTGGGTTTTGAAGAGATTACCAGAAAAAACCCAGCTAGAGTTCTGAATTAGGGGGAAATAGAACAATATGATTCAAGTGACCTTAATTCTGTTCAGACATAATTTCTCTTCCAATAATGTTTTTGTTAAAAACAAACAAAACCAGTAGTAATAAGAAAGTTTAATGTATCTCTCCACTGTTCTCTCATCGAAAAAGAAACTGACTATGTAAAAGAATTTCTAACTCTGAGGAAAGCCAGAGTACATAGCAGTATAAAATTCATCTTACAGATGACAGTGGAGCCCTTTTCCCCTTTCGATTTCATAGAAACATAGAGCCAGAGAGGATCTTGCAGGCCAATTAGTCCATCCTCCTGCTTGAAGCAGGAAACGCGAAGTGACAGTATCCCCAGGAGATCATTGTCCAGCCTCTACTGAACACCTCCAAGGAGGGAGAGCCACCACCTCTGCGAGCAATTGAGCTCCTTGTCAAACTTCTCTTACATGATATTTCTTGTAATCTGCAAGCAAAATCTACCTTCCTGTAATTTAAGCCATTGGAGCCAGTCCTGCTCTTTGGGGCAGCAGAGAACAAGTCTTGGTCCTCTTCTTTGTTGCAGTCTTCAGATCTTTGAAGACTATTACCACACCCATCTGCCTATCCCAGTCTTCTCTTCTGCAAGCTAAACATAGCATGTACCTCCAATTTTTAACATGGACATGTTTCCCATTTGTCCCATTATCTGCAATGCTTTCCTCTGAACTTGTTCCAGTTTGTATATTCCAAATGAGGTCTGACTAGTACATAATCAAATGGATCTGCTTCTTTTTGTGAAGGGGAGACCTATGCTTCCATTAACACAGCCTCAAATCACAGTAGAGCACAGTGCTATGGTTGGCACTTCCAACAGAACTGGGGCTCTTAGCTCAGAGCCTTCCACCTGTCCTATATGCTGCCAACAAGAGCTACACAGGCTGAGAGGAAGATGGGGCAATTTGGCCTCCTTTCCTCTGTCTACAATAAAAAGGCACTCAGATGGGCCACTTAGGCCACCCAGCTGGTAGTATAGGAATTGGAAAGAGCATGTGATGCTGTGTAACCCGGCCTGTCCTTTCTCCTTTCTGCTCCCTCCCACCCAGCAGCATGCACCTTTTTCTCCCTTTCCAACATCTCTTATGGAGCACAGTTGTGACTGCATACTTTCCACAGTGAGTGAGAGGAAGAATGGGAAAATCTACCCTCTACACCTATAATTCTGTATACAGAGGAGACCTGTCTAGACACTGTCTTGAGACTACAAGTTCACTCTTCCTTCCTTCCTTTCTAGCCCCATAACACCACTGACTTATGTTTAGTTGGTGATTGACTAGAATTCCATAATCCTTTCCACATGTATGACTGCCAAGCCAGATGTCCTCCTATTCTGTTCTCATCGATTTGATATTTTTTGTCTGGCTTAAATGCGCAGCATGAAGGATTTGTCCCTGTTAAGCACAAAATGATATATCTGTACTAATATGACACATTTATTATTTGATGCATTTTTCTTCAAGTGTTTATTTTATCAGCTAAAATGATATTTATATGCTGCCATGCTCTAGTATGCAAACAGTACATAGTGTCAAGCTACTAATAGTTTTATAAGTATAGATATGGAACTTAACTCTGCAATGTTTCATAATAATCTCAGCTTTTCTTTACTGAAACTTCCATAAGTTGAGATGTTGGTATTTTACATCCTGAGGCCAAGGCCAGGATCCAGGAACCACAGAATTCGTACCGCAGCTGTACTAAGAATTTGCTTTGTGGCATTTACAAATCCTGTCTACATTGGGCTTCAGTGCTAGAGGGACTGCTAATTTTAGCCTGGGAAGACCCTGACTCTACTTTTCCCTAAGTAATTAGATATCTCATCTTTTTTCCACGGAGCTAAGCTTGGGGTTGTCATAAAACTTATTGAGTTTGGGTACCTTTTTATATATAAAAAAGAGCAGAGCACAATCCTATAACTAGTAAATGCTGGCTGGCTGGCCATAGGAAAAGGTAGAGTCCCAGCTGTGACCTCAAAAAAGCCCTCTAAGATCACATCCGAGACTGGTGGTCCTCTCTCTAACCTGGCAGCTGTGGAAGTGATGTCTGCAACTCAGAAGATCGAAGACCATCTTCAGGACAGGCCATGGGGGCATGACCTTGGAAGGGGAGGAATGAGGGACCACCTTTCTGCAATGAATCCAGACAGCACCTCAGCTTTCAGATGGTCAAAATTGGCCATCCAAACATTTTTGAAGGTGAGGGGAACGCAGAGGCAATCCTGTGCTTTTCCCACCTTGCACTGATTGCCTTCCAGGTTTGAAGAACTACAGCTAAGGACGGTACCCTCAACCTGTAAGAAAAGTATCAGCATTCCCTGCTTCCAGTATTCCATAGGGATCAGCACTCCCCACCGTCCATAGCCACATAAGAACAGAATCAGACCCCTCATGGATCAGAATGAAACTGGGCCCATGGCAGGGATAGGGGTCTGTCGTGTTTTTTAAAATAATTAAAAACAGTATATCATCACAGAAATAAACCAAAAGCATGAAAATAAGAATATCAGTCATCATAAAATCATTTAAGCCCACAAAGATGTGTAATTGTGAGAGACAGCTAAAGGTGCGATCCTATGCTATCTGGGGCAGAAGGACTTTTTTCTTCCTGAAATTGCATAGGATTATAACTTACAGGAGCCCACTGCCACCTCTCTGCATTTGGCTCCTTTAATGTTATGGCCATGCTTGAGCTCTAGTATTAAATGTTGACCTTTTTCTGTCCTGGGCTGCAGCGCTTTAAGGTAGGATCATTTTCTGGGTATAACAAGCCGGTATCCACATTTGGCTGCAGCCATTATTTCAAGTCTCTGCTGCTGACTCTGCACTGAGTGAGTGTCTCTTGAAACAAATTGTTCATTTAGGATTTTGCTGGGTCTTGGTTTAGTACACGCAGAGAAGACCAAAATAAATGGCTTCTTGAATGACTCTCAGTGCCTGATCACATTGTAAAAACAATTATTCGGCAGGACCAGCTTTCTGTTTGAAGAGGCTGCCAGCAAAGTGGCCTTGGTGGGCTCCCTCCTCTGAGAATGGCCACCCCCAGGATTCATAGGAGGGGTTCTCTTATGCCAGGGTAGCATGGGGGGGGTGTCCTTTATTATTGGTATTTATACATGGCCAACTACAATTTTTCCCTGAGTGGTTTACAAGTGCAACATTAAAACTATACAGATCAGCAAGCCTTTATTAAGATGTTATGTGCTGTCCGGTTGTCACTGACTTTTGGTGAGCCTGTGAATGAAAGCCTTCCAAAATGTCCTATCCACTACAGCCCTGCTCAGCTCTTCAAGTCTACGGCTTCCCTAATGCAGCCACTCCTGTATTTGCTCTTCCTTTTTTCCTTCTGCCTTCAACTTTCCCTAGCATGATGGTCTTCTCCAGGAAGTATTGCCTTCTCAGGATGTGCCCAAAGTACAATACTCTCCTTTGTCATTTTTACTTCTAAGGAAAGTTCTGGCTTGAATTGATCTGGGACCCACCTGTTTGTCTTTCTGTCAGTCCAGGGTATTTCCAAAGCTCCCCTCAAGCACCGTGTTTCAAATGCATCAATTCCTTTTCCTGTCAGCTTTCCTCACTGCCCAGTTTCCACACCCAAATATAGTAATTGAGGAGAGTGTAGATGATCTTGGTCTTGCTCTCCAGTGCAAACCTGGGAGAGGCAAATCCCTGGTGGCCTCCATTCCCCCCCCCCCCCCCCACAATCAATGGACCAATGCAGCTTCTAGGTAAGAAGAATAGTGGCTGCCACAAAAACCTGTCAGCTGCTACACTTTAATCCTTAGGAGAACAAAGGCAGGAAAACATCATAGTGGATCCCAAAAGCCTGGAGTCTGGAGGCCCAAAGATGCCTAAGAATGTTACTTGTTAGTATCTGTTGTGATATTCAGCACTCAGATCCCCATTTACACATTTATTGAATCTTAAAGTGTGTGTTTACAGAATGCCACAGGACAGAGGCAACAGACAGGATCTAAAAAGTCCCTCACATAAATGGAAGACACATCTGCGTACATGTGGAAGGAGAGTTGTCTCTGGCTTCTGCTCATTCCATCTTCTGGCTACAGCTCCCAACAACTCATCCCAAACTGTTCTGGAGGTTTCCCTGACTGCCCAGGAATGCTTTCTCAAGGGCTGAAAACAAGAAAAAGTCTTGTGGCACTTGAACAATTCTTTGTTGTTTTTACTTCAACAGACTAACCTGCAAAGGAGGGCATGCTGAAGGAAGCAAGAACATGGTTTTTCATGAGTGGGACTTCATTCATACCTCTTTGGGTCTCACCCAGTGTATTAAGCCTGTCAAGATTGCAGCATCACCTTTTGCAGTAATAATCCCAGGGAAACTGGGTACAATTATGGATGAGTTTTTGGAGAGAAGAGTAGATTTTATTAAGTACTGCTTGAAATTAGGTCAAAGGAGCCCCAAACTTTTCATTACATTGGTCTAAAATGGAACATTTTCTACCTGCAGGTCCAAGGAGCTTTGAAGAGGCAGTGGATGCAGTATAAAACTCAGTGGGGTCAAAGGCGACGAGAACATTGCTCTACACGATCTACCTCCTACACAGCAACATCTATCACAGAGGTCCCCATTTATCTATATCATCACGATTCCAACAGTGAACAAATTAATGGAAAATACATAGAGGACTCTGAACTTGTTGCACTGAAATCCGGAGAGACATCTGCTTAGCTTACAAATAAGGGATTTTTCTTTCTGTTCATAAAATGAGAAGGAGAAGAACTCGAGGCCACTGCAAGAGTATGCTTGGTCAGGTGACAGGATGCACCATATGCAAAGTACTCAACTTTCTGATTGCAACAGCTCAGAAAGGGTCTCACAGAAACAGAGATCTGGTGGCTGGATCCAACTGCAAATACTGCTCTTAAGTGTAAAAGGGACCAAGGCTGGAATTACTCCATGGAAAATTGGATTTCAACCAGTTCCACATCTTGATCATAGGAAATGAGGATGCAATAGTAATTAACATTTCCATTAGGTGTCCCACTGGGCAATGCCATGGTCTCTGCAGATGGACTTTTTATGGTCCAAACTGAGCTGAATGCAAGTAGGAGATGGTCAACTGCTAATACTTTCCTTTTCTACTAGACTTTGAAACCATAAATATGAGTCATTTGTCAGTGTCTTGGAAAGCATTTTCCCCTTTGACTTAAAGTAAGCGCAAGGCTTTCTTAAAGTTTTCTGCACTTAGAGCAAAACAATATAAAGATCATTCCATTGTATTTAAATCCTCACAATCTCAAGAGGGTATCATTCAGTATTATTCAGACATCAAGCACAGGACAGAAACAGAGGCCAATTATTTATTGTGTCAAAAGCATTCAAAAAGAATAGATTAAGCATTACCTAAGACATGCAGTGTTCTGTTGGAAAGTCAAATGAGAGGACCCAAGAGACTTTCTTCAGTATTCCATATGCTGGTTGCTTAATATTAATCGTTTTTAAGGAAATTGTCAGCCATATTTTTCAGCCCAGCAATGAGATATAGGGAACATTTTTTTTCTCTACAATAAACTGTGAAATGTACTTGGAAAATCATCTCTCTCTCTCTCTGTTTCTCTCTTTATAATTCTTGAAGATAAGGAATCCAAATACCTTGTACTGTTGGGGCCCATAACAGATGTTATTGACATTCATTGGCCAGTTCAGTGCAGTATCCAAATTCAAGAGCACTCTAGAGGGGGCAACATGTCATCATTTATGGTGTGGTTTGTCCCTTAGCAGCATTTTTCTTCCTTGGGACCATGATCACATAGGCAGGAATAATGTAATCTGCTTGGCTTGTGTGGTTTAATATAGATACTACTTAAATTGTGTATAAACATGGTTCCAATGCTACTGTCTGGAATGAATTGTGATAAATCAAATACTGTGAGTAGGAAAAGCAACAACAAAGAAGTTTCACACAGAATTTTGTAGGTTAGAAGATGTTAATTATGGTAATGATATACTGATAGTGTCTTTTTTGATATAACACACAAGAAAGTCAGTGAACTTTGCAGTTCTTATTGCATATACCAAGGCCAAAAACAGAATGGCACCAGTGTTCATGCATTATTATAATGCAAGTTTTTTAATCCCAGGTATATTCCACCTTTGAAAATTTGTTGGAACTGGTTTCTCTGAAGATTGAGACAGTGATGAGAGGAACTGGCATGTCTCCCAAGTAGATGCACTCCAGTATTTACACAAGAATAATAATGGGCATGGTTGAAAAATGCTGACTGTTTGTTTATAGATCTGTATTTATCTTAAAATTACTACAGAATACATAGCACTTTTTTAAAAAAAGTCCTTCAGCTGGGGAATTTTAAAGTTAATTTTGATTAGGAGAGGGCATGAAACAATCACAGGTGTATTCAGTGAATATTTATACTAAAGTATGGAAGGATGGACAGACAAAGGTTTAGTAAGTCATAAATGGTTATATAAGTAGTGAAGGTTGGAAGTAGGTCTTCAACTTGTCACATATGGAAATGTTCCATGAACCAAATCTATGACCTATCTATACAATTCAGCTTCCCATTGTAAGTAATAGATGGATCTTTGTACTTGGGCAGAGATGTAAGTGTGTAAGCACCAGATCACAAAGTTTGTCCTACTCGCAATAAGTTGGTACCAAGAGTCATCATGTGCAGAACCAACTGTGAACTGACCTGAACTAAAGGGCTCAAAAAGGTATCTGAATATCATCAATGAGGTCACTATCCTTACAGACACTGACAGCTGTGACATTAGTTAGGCTATAATTTTTCTTTCTCTAATCAAGTAAGAAAAGATGAAAAGGAAGGTTATAGAGAGGTTTTGAGATGAAAGAAATCAAACAGGGCACAATGCAAACAATTTAGCTCAATGGAAGATATATAAGCATATGCTTAAGTCTCTCACTGCTGTCAATGAGATTTTCAAAAATGATTAGCTTTGCCTAAATTGTGGCCATGGACTATATTGCATCTGATGTCCTAATGTCTGTTCTGTAACTAATCGATTATACATGCAAATTACATACTAACCTATCTATTTTTAATTAATTCTTGCCTTTGCACTAGGGTTGTAAGATTGGGTTTCTTATGCCCCAAACACATAATATTTACAAAAAAAAGTGTCACAAACTTTGGATTTTAATTTGGTGACCTACTTGATTAAGAAGATGTAGCCCTTCTAGTCCATGGAGGGTGTCATCCAAAGTTCACCGTGTTTAGTGCACAGCCACAAGCTTAACTGCACCTCGTTCAGGGCAGGATGGACAGTGGTGGGTTAATTTTTGGCTTTCTAGACAAAGTGCTGCAGAGAGGGAGGAAAGGAGGCTGAGGCACTGTTTTGATCTAGTATAACCCCTGCCCACCCTTTGGCACCCCCTTAGCTGTCTCTACAGCTGATTTCTGACCTGAGAGACAGGTGAAACAGGTCTTCCTGGGGTCCCTGTATCCAGACTCTCAGCCTGTCAGACGATGTTAGAAGGCCACAGGACTGTGCCCTAAACAGATGACTGCATAGTACATCGCAGAAATGAGCCTCTGCTTGTTAGTATTCCGTGAACAACACTGAGAGGTGTTTTTTTTTTTAAACGAGTCATCAGTACTAGGAATTTTATATTACTGGCCATTTTTATGCTTATTGAGCTTTATCACAGCAGCTGTATATACTTTCTAAGTACAAAAAATGGGCTATTGAAACAGAAATGTACATAAGGCACAAAGAACTGATAATAGGATTGTTTGTTTCATCTGTAAAAAATTGTTCACACAGTATATTATATTAATGGAAATGTATAATATTGCCATTTTTCTGGGGTGGGGAGGGGAATAATGGTCAGCTTTGTGATCCATCAAGTCATTTTACTCATTGAAGTTGGCTGCTATTGCCAAAGATGCATATGAAGATTTGTCAAAAACCTTTGTGTAAGAAAAGTAACTTCTGAAGACATCCATGGTCAATTCTGTTGCACGTTGATCTGTTTGTGTCATTTAAATCCGCAAATGCTGAGCACATCCTTGTACTGGCATCCCTTAACATGGTACCCTGCAGAAACTGTCATGAGGTTGTTGGAACTTACAGTCTAACACAACTGAAGGACACCCAACTGGGGAAGGATTTGTACTAAGATCAAATACCTCATGCTACATTATTATTTTCCTGATTGTCATAGTAAAACTGTGCAAAAAAAGCTGCACTTAAAATCAAATTGTCTTCTGTTCCAAAGAAGCCTACATCTGAGGCCATCAAGCAAGCACTGGTGGCACACTAAATCCTAGTTTTTCATGAAGAGATTCAGGTAAGATCTGAACACTTGTTGCATAATTAGAATAAGTATTTCAATACCATTAGCTGTGCATCCTTGGCTTGGATCCTCTACTTGTCTGCTCAACACAAATCTATACATGTTCTGCATACTGAGAAGCAAGCTCCATTGGGTTTGATTAGGATTGATTCTGGCTGCTATCTTAAGGAAGTTCACAGAAGAAAGGTTTTCCATCATACCTGCTCCCTCCCCTGCAGCTACCTGCACCACCACCCCCAACAAGCCAATATAGAGCAGCTGGAAGCCACCAGTGGAACACAAGTAGTTGCATAATACCGTCTATTGGGCCAACATTTCCCAATAACTGAGATAGGAATACTTTAATAAGGGTCTGCTTCAGACCTCTTCTCTAAAAGGGCTCTGTAGAAATCAAACTCTTATCCCACGTACCAGTAAAAAGATTGAACAAACTACCTTGGTCCCAGTTCTGTGTTGTTGCATTATCGTAAAGCTGCCTTTGTTGAAATTCTTTAATTGAAAAATGTACCATTCTGTTTATGTTGACCACTAGGCATATTGACCATTATGCTCAATTAAGGTTGAGTCCATTTATAATTCTTGCACTTATAATTAAAAGGAATGATGAACAGCTGGGGGGAGCTACACACTAGGAGTCATTAATCTTAATTAAGAGGATTTTTTCCAGCATTTGAAAACTGCATTGTTACAGTTCTGGGTCACATATATGCAACTTATTTTGGTGGACAGGATTGATCAGTGCTTTGTGTCTTGATGATGAAGCATTCTGTGTGTGTTAATCCTGGAAAATTAAATCTTTTTCTTAGTATCTTTAATACTAAGATATAATAACATCTCATATTTGTATGATCATCAAAGTTACCACCCTGAAGGAAAATACTGGCAGAAAAGCTCACAGAGAGAGTGTAATCTAACACATCAGAGAAATCTCCCCAGAACCCAGTGCCCTGTGTGAACTAGAAAACAAAACCAAATGAAGGTTAACTAAGTGTTCATACTTTAGTGCCTTTGGAAAATCACCAACTAAAACACCAGTTTCATAGCATTCCTCAAAGTTCTGCAGCTATGTTCAAAGAGTCATGCCTCAGCTTGTTATACCCAAACAGAGACTTGTAAAAATTAAACCTAGATGGTTCCTAGCTAAACTAGGGTTAGCTAGGAACCATCTAGCTAACCAGTTTCCTATCTTGTCCAAAGAAAGAAACCATGGCTATCAGTTTTGAAACAAACCAAGATCTTAAACTACAGTTCAAAGTCAGCATTGGATATTGCATTTTGGAGAATCTAAGGTGGCAGCTCACCCACCATCGAGCAGAGTGTCAGCACAAGTCACCAAGGTGTACTGAATTATCACTGGAATTTCAGTTGGATCCAGTGGTTCAGAGCACCTTTGATCAACTGAGGCTGATTTACCAGCTATGATCCTATTTGGTCAAGCAGAACCTTTTAACAATTATCCACACTCTGGTAACCTCTTGTCTGGGTTATTGCAATTCTCTCTACGTTGGGCTACCTTTGAAGATGATCCAGAAATTTCATTTGGTTCAGAATAGGGCAGTGAGGCTACTGACAAGGTCTAGCCAATATGATCATATAACACCAGTTCTCTACCATCTCCACTGGCAACCAATTGACATCCAGGCTGAATTCAAAGTGTCCACACTAATATTTAAAGTCCTGAATGGCTTGGGGTCAGGTTATCTAAAGGAGCACTTCTTCCTATGTGTGCCTCCTGAGTCCTTAGATCATCACTGGATGGCCTTCTCAGGGAGCCCCTCCAAAGGAAATAAAAAAGGTGCCTACAAGGAGAAAAGCCTTCTTGGTAGTGGCACCCCGACTCTGGAATTAGTTCCCCAAAGAGATTTGCCTGGTGCATTCTCTCTGTTCTTTTTGGCACAAGGCAAAGGCATTTTTATTTACCTGATAGTTTAACTGTTAAGATAATTGTAATGTCTTATAGTATGCTATTTATTACATGTTGGTGCTATCATGCCTTTTACTGCTTATTGCTAATATTCAAGGCTTGTGAAGTTTTACTGCAGTGATTTTCCTGTGGCTTGATTGTTGTGATTTTATTATTGTGATATTTGATAATTTAATGTTATTTATTTTGTTATGTATATTATCATATCCTGTATATCAGAGAGCCATTTTGGCTAAAGGGGTGGGATGTAAATCTAATAAACAAACTCACACATCCAGGAAGAGGAGGCAGCAAGCAGGAGTGCCAGGCAATGCCCCCAGCAAAGCAGTACCTGGGGTGAGGTGCGTAGGGGTGGCAATTGACCAGCGGCAATTGGCCCAGGACCAGTGGCAGGTACCCAGGCATGGCAGCCTCTGATGGTAGGACGTGGCTACCAGGTGCAGTGGTGGCAGCAGGCAGGACTAGCCCGCAGCACTGCTCCAGTGTTTTCTGAATGCTTGTGCGAAGCAAGCACTGGTCCCCCAGTTCATGCTAACTCCCCAAAACCCTTCTAAGCCCTTTTTAAAAAGGGTTATAGCCATTGCACTACCTCAGCCAAGCTGTTGAGTTTGAAGTAATTGCTGTAAAGATAATAACCATCTTTCTCTGAAGGTTGATGTCAGAAGAAAACTCCTAGGTCTATCAGCAGCATGTGCAAAAACGAAACCTGGAAAACCATAGAACAGGGAAACCCCCAGTGCAGACGTGTAAACTGTTCCTTCCTCTGTTTTTAAGGGTCATACACCAGGGTCACGCAGGCATGGAGAGTAGAAGATGGAGCAGTGTAAGCTGCCTTGGGTTCCTGACAAGAGGGAAAAGGTTGGATATAAATGCAATGGAGATGAATTATGAAGATGATGAAGGTTGTGGGCTCACCCACACTAGAGACATTCAAAAAGAAACTGGACAGCCATCTGAGTGGGATGGTGTAAATGGGTATCCTGCAATAGCAGGGGGTTGGACCCGATGGCCTTCATGGCGTCTTCCAACTCTATGATTCTATGTTTCTATGGTGCTGGTGGTGGTTCTTGGTCCCCTTCACTATCATTCCATAACCTGATCCCCTCCAAATGTATGGACTACAGTCCCCAGAATCCCCTAACCAGCATAGCTGACTGAGGGAATTCTGGGAGTTGTAATCCAACATATCTGGAGGGCAACAGACTAAGGAAGGCTATTATAAATTCAACCACCATATTGGCTTCCACAATTATATGGCTGGTCTACATGCATAAATAACATACAAAACATGGCTGTGAGGGAATGTAGAACCCCTCATCAAGTGACCTTCACACCATCAAAAATAATGGAACACAGGCACTTCCTATACCATTCCAATAACCCCACTCTACTTCCACAGCACTAATCCAGGAAACTGGGACAACATTGCATGGAAGTGCAAGAGCAGGTTGTTCTCATATGAAAAAAAAGGCCTGGGGGTGGCCATTAGGGATGAGATGCAACTGCATCGCCAGGCACACAGAATGGATGCCACTCACAAAATAAGGCCTCCCTGGCTCCTTTCTTTAACCTCTCCCGTATACCCTTCAAATTTACTCTGGAGTGTTAGGAGACCTTTCAGAGGAGACTTGAAACACAGACTCCAACTCAATGACACCTGCATAGCTGCATGAATGAGAGATTTTGGCAGGTGTATCTTTCCAAACCATTGCAACAGTGACAAGACCAAGAGCCAAAATTATACATAACTATGAAAAGTACAGAAACCCTCATGTTAATAAGCTGGTCATCAGCCTTTCTCCATAGCAGAAATAAGCAGCCTTTAACTCTAAGGATAAATCAGCAAAGGAAAGAGAGGAAGTAATTGTATTTTTGAGGCTATGTATAGTTTTTCCTAAATGAGTACCTATTAGGTGCCATGATATCCTCGTGCATTTGCAGCAGTCATTCATACATCAAGCGTCTACTGAAATTTGAACTTCCCAAAAAAACCTATATAGTCACTAATTAAGTGTCTCTGAACTCCAAATTCGTTGCGCACAATGCAACTAGATTGCAAAAGCAAAGGATGTTATAACTCCTTATATATCAGCACTGGGAGTGCGGGGAATAAACTTCCAAGGCTGGTGAAAAGCTGACTTACAATCAGTCAAAACGAATCATAAAAACATGAATTATAGGACATGAACTCTTGTTGTTTATATTTAACAAGGTTGCAGTTTTTTTCCCTTTTTAATTAACTGCTCTGCTTTTATCCCATCAAAATGTTGATGGCTTTTTACAAAGGAAATCTTAATTTTTGACAGTAAAATTTGCTGTTCTGTTGCATTAGGCACCTCAGTGAAATTGAACTGCTTCTTTTCTTAAACAATTTACTTTATCTGAAAATGCTCATTTGCAAATAAAGTCAAGCCAAAAATTTTAAAAAGGTGTATCAATCTGCCTGGAATTCAGAGCAAAGGGCACAATAAAACCTCAGTTTTTCCATAGATGCCACTTCTGGGATACTGGAGGAAAACTGCAGAACTTTCCACATTAGAAAGACTATTCAAAATAGAAGATGAACCCTGCAGATAAAATCCATACCCTATATACTGCTAACATCAGTAGCTCTGCCATCAGTAGCAGGCAAGGTTGGGCATCTACTGAATCCACAGATGAGTTTAACCTCATCTTCCCTATTGCAACTTGTTTATTCAGCTGCCTCCCACTTAGGCCCAGATAAAGCAGGTGGAAAGGCAGAACAGTAGTGCCACTGCCCAGTGGCTCTCTGTAGGTCAAGCAGGCAGGTATCTGGAGTCACCACTGACCCTGGTAGCCAGCCAGGTGCTTCTGGGACTTCCAGATCACAAAGGCAGCTGCTCTGCTCTATGACTTATTCCATGGCAACTGTGATTCAGAAGTCCTCTGCCTCTGGCATCTCTAGTAGCCACTAATGAACCTATCACTCACAAAAGTACTGGATACTCTCCCTCTAAAGCCATCTCACAATTTGATCTTCCTTTAAAGCTACCTTTGAAGCTAGCCCTTGCCACGCTTACCTTATTTTTTATTTATTTTATTTATTAAAACATTTTTATGCCGCCCCATTCACCGAA